GGCCGGACGTAAGGGTGTGCTACTTCGAGACATGGCAGGTCTTTCCGACCCACGTAATCTTTATGTGGAGGTAGTTAAGTTTTATATTTAATATAACTAATTTTCAAAAATTAGCAATTTCCACATTAAAAATAATACCCTTAATTTAATTCAAAAGTCCAACCATCGGAATATGTGAAGTTTTTCTAATTAAATGAATATTAATGCAGTTTCCATTCTTAACAATTTGCATGATAATTATCTATACATCCAGAGCATTCTTATTTACATTTTATTATACTTAATTTTAGTGATATTAATCCTCCATATTACTAATTAATTGAGATCCAAATAGTTCTTCTATTATGTTAATGAGTAATAGAAATAGTACGCAAATATTCAGGTTATGCACCGCTAAATATGTAATTTTAAGGTAGTATTGCAAACTAATTACTTTGTTATTAAAAGTCTATATAAATATAAGGTTGATAAGTGTTATCAATACTTTTATTATTATGAATAATAAATACATTAAAAATTGAGCATCCACTATAATATGAGAATGAGGGTCAAGATCTAAAAAAATCCTGCTAATTTCATAACGATTAATATTAGAAGATCCAAAATAATGAATGCCTTGATAAGTATTGAAATTATAAGAATTCTAACATTCCCATCCTAATATAAAATATATATTATAAGAAATTACCATCTAAAACGTTAGAAGTAGCATTAAACTCATAAATCAAGGTTTGATGAGTTTTAAAGATTATAATGATAAGCATTATCATTATTAATTAATGCAATTATCAGCATTTTGTAATTTTAATAAAATCATAATTATGCACATAATTTAAGATTAAAATCAATTTTAAAATTTTAACAGACTTCATCTATTTATCAGATAAATTTTTTATCCATAGTATTAGTTTTTGAAGAATACTTTATTCGTAAATGAATCTTTAAAAAGGCCCTTTGAAAATTATTCATTTATAAATTCTATTGAGATATGAACTGTTGTTAATTTTTGTTGACAATTTTAAATATATAAAATTCAGATTTGGAATCATCCTTCCTCCTTCAATCAATTATAGCATTAAAGGAAATGATTAAAATTAAGTTAGTATTTTAAACAAATTATTTAACTTTTGAGAAATAAACATTGAAGATGAATGTTCATATAGAGATGATTTTGAAAACTAACAAAAATCCTTGATTTAGTGCTGCATTTATTGATCTTTACTGATCTTTAATTTGAAATAGCCTATCGATATTTCATCTTAGGATACTTTATCTAAAATGAAATTTTACAAAAAGAAACAAGTTTCTAAAGGATAAATATTAATAATCCCAAAAAAAAGATCTGTTAATTATTAAAATATATTTGAAATTTTGTAAATAATCATTAATTACTTGAAAACTAAAATACTTTCTATCGTAATCATTAGAGACTTTTCAATTATTCAGAAAGATGCATTCATGATGTTTAATTATTATATCATTTTCTAAAATGGTTGTTAAATTAAAGAAAACATGATAAATAGATTGTATTTAGAAAGCTAATCCAACTCATAATGTTGTTTGTGATTCTCTGCTAACAAATTTATACTCTTTGAATTTATTTGTAATTCCTTTTTCTCTACTGATGAAAATTATAAATAGTCAAACTTTTTATAAGCAATATTTAATTTAAGAAGTGAGATTAAATATAAACCTTTATGATGACATTTGCAAAAAATCCACTAAAAGAATTAGTATTTCAATTCATATATCATATGCTTCTGTATTTTTATAAAATTTACAATTTACTTATCATTGGGTTGCTTGGAAAAGAAATCTTCTTGCTTGATTTACAAATTTTTTAGGTAAATTTACTCAAATTCGACTCTAATAGATTAAAATTATAAAGAATTAGGCAGTTATACTATGATGTGAACTTAAAGCAACTTTCTTGATTGGCTTTTAAAAATTTGCTCCTTATTTTTAACGAAATCTTTAATTTAATTGAGGTTCCTCATTAACGGCTCGTTCCATAGTCCGGATGCCATGGTTTGAGAGCCGCACTGA